AACCACAAACTATTATGGGATGGGGTTACCATAGTAACTGAAAGTTCACACAGGAAAAGAGCAAACAGGCTCAACAAAAACAACCCACCGTGGGTAGTAGTAACCCGGACAACCACACATCTGAAGGTCAGAGACAAGAAACTGTAACTTTCAGGAATTCCACAAAGGAAACACACCACCTGCTAAACTGCAGAAACTTAACACATATGGAGTTACTAAAGTTTACAATACTTACAACCAATACTCATGATCCCCGCACTGTACCACATTCCATAGCACTTAACACAGGTAGAGTTAAGAATATTTGTTGAGTAGATGAATGAATAACTGCACAAATGAACTAAAATAAAGGACAGTGCTGTGAGGGCACATGCTTATGGGCTTACACGCTGAAGGGCTCCCTACTTCAGCTGGTCGGGGGATGGGGCGTCCGTCCTGGAGATAAAGCTACGCTGAGCACTGCTGAGCAAGTGTGGAGAGACAAAGAAGGCACATTTCACACCAGGCGCTGTGATGGGAAGGCCCCTCATGGCCCAGTATTTCATACCAGCAGGGCTCCCACGGTGCTTGTTGGAACATGAGTGGGCAAATGGGCAAGACCTGTGTTATGTAGGGCCTTGTGTCCATGTAAGTACGATCTCAAAGAATTTTGCTGCACATGGAGAGGGATTTTATTTTCTCAGCACTGTATCCCTTGCACTTAAACCACAGCCTCTTCTTCCCCATCCCTTGAGCTTGCACAAGGTTTCAGCCAACATAGCCCAACTTGACTTCAGGTCAGGCAGCTATAGTTTATGCACCTGGACTGCCCCTCTCTCTCCACATCTCCCAACTCAAATTTCTGGAAGCACAGAGCTGATTGATGCAGCTCACACTTTCCCAGCAGGCCGCACTGTGGGTCAGCCAATTGGATGACTTCCTGGATGAGGTGTCCAGCCAGGGCCCGGGGAGCCTGGCAGCTGGGCAGGTCACGTGGTGCCAACAGGAGGGCAGTCAGCGAGGCATTTTCTTAGAGGAGTGAGGGAAACAGGCACTGGACTGCAATAAAGTCCGCAGCAAAGATAGAAGAGGCGAGGACTGTATCTTACTCTTACCTGCATCCCTCATGGCTTTGCAGTGCCTCGCATATGTTAAATTAATGAATGAATGAATGAATGAATGAACAAATGCAGAAGGGAATTCATGGATTTAAGGAAGAAGAAGCAAGTGCTACTCAAAAGACGGCTACTCTAACACCAGGGCAAGAGAGGCCCTGGATGCTGCTCGGAAGCCCTCCTGGACCAGCACTGGGCCTGCACACTTGTGTTCCTGACCCAAGGCTCCCCCTTCACAGCTCTTGGAGCATGAGTAAGGCAAGCCCCTGTATGCCAGGTTTTTCACCCAGAACCTCTCTCTTCCTGTGAAAACCAGCCCACGCCAATGAGAGGAGCCTGGCCCAAGAGGCCTCTGGAACAGGAGAGGCTTCCTTTGTACTTGCTAATTAATCTCACATTTGACAGAAGTGACCAGAGCAGCAAAAATCTCTAGTCAAATAGATGCCTCTCCCGGGCTCTAACAACCAAGAAAGTTGTCAATTACATTGAGATACAAGAAGAAGCCATAATATTGTTTAAGAGTCTGGTGCTTTTGTTGGAAAGGCACGGAAGAGGTGCTGGGCGTGGACCCAGAAAGGGTGAGCTTAAATT